ATTTATGGACAGGTGTTTGCAAACTTTGAAAGACGAAGAATGTGAGTTAAGAATGGGCGAGTTAACCGTCAAATGCCTTTTGTATGCCGATCATCAAGTCATATTTGCGTCATCGGCGGCTGAGTTTCAAATGATGGTTACATTAATGAACTGGGCATTAAAAGAAAGGTGAATGAAAGTGAACGCAAGTAAGACGAAAGTGATGGTTTTTGAAAGAGAGGAAAGCAAAACGATATGTGAAATAAGAATAGAAGGAGAGTTAATTGAGCAAGTGGATGAGTTTGTGTATTTGGGATGTGTATTTAGCAGGGATGGTAGATATGATAAGGATATAGAACGACGAGTAAATGCAGGGAATAGAGTGAATGGGGCACTACACTCTATTGTGAAGAACCAGAATGTATCAAAAAAGGCACGTATGGTAATTCATAATGCTGTGTTAATCTCTACTTTAATGTATGGTAGTGAAAGCTGGGTGTGGCAGAAGAAGCACGAAATTAGAATAAATGCTGTAGAAATGCGGTCTTTAAGGAGTATGCTAGGGTTGAATCTGAATGACAGGGTGAGAAATTGCGTGATAAGAGATAAATGTGGTATGCAAGATGATGTTGTGACCAGGATTAAGAAAGGAATGCTTCGGTGGTTTGGTCACGTAAAAAGAATGAATGAGGAAAGAGTGACAAAGCAAATTTATATGGCAGATGTGAACGGCAGAGTCGGGAAGGGACGCCCTAGAAAAAAGTTTATCGACCAAATTGACGATATTTTGAAAATGGGCCACGTTAGAAGTACCCTTAACCGACGAGCATGTATGCGTAGATATATGGATGTAAAGGAGGCGAAAGAGGTATGTCAGGATCGTGTCAAATGGAAGTCCGTAGTCTCTGCCTACCCCTCTGGGTGACAGGCGTGAGTGTTTATAGCTATATTATTATTTTTATTTATATGTTGCGTAGGTAGCTAGCGCGATCGGTGGTCTTTACAGTGATTACGTCACTCGGGCGCATAGAATGTCATATGATGAATGATGAATGTCATGCGCATATGAAAATCCATGAATTTACGGACGGTGTCGGACAGAAACTTTTTATTTTTACTAATTTAACACTAATTTTATGAAATAAAATAGCGGTTTTTTTAATTCATTGAATTTACGTTCTATAAGTGAAACCAAACCACTGGTTTCAAGGACAACGGTGTTTACACTAACATCCTGTTTATGATTTATATGTACATTTATTTACATATTCGAATATAAAAATTCTACATAAATACACCATATAATATTTTATTAGATGCATATTATACACAATATAATATCATATACATTATATAAAAACAAAACGAAAAATTATTAAGATATACAAAGAGAAATAGTGTCCAGATAATGTCCAATAAGCTTAAAAGAGTTGCGGTAAAAAAAGTGGAATAGATAGAGACCTTAATTATAGTGTACTAAATTTTAACAATATTTTATAATACAAAGTGTTAAACAATATAACAAGTGTAATATCTTAAATATAATACGAACAAAAATATTCATGTAAATATTTTAATGTTTTAAATCGAAGTGTGACTATTAAAGTTTCATCTAAATAGTTATACGTGGTATTAGTTTTAATACTTGCTAGAGCCATGCTGCAGTTATATTAGTAGTATAGTTCTAGTACGAATGGATCAGTTCGACCGGAGAAGGACCACGCTCTCACAGAATACCAGCGTAAAATAGTAGCTTAAATGCTGCTGTGTTTCGTATGGTGAGTGTAGAGAACCCTACGAGCACTTAACTCTCGGGTTAAGTTAACCCTTGGGTTAAGTTAACCCTAGGGTTAAGTGCTCGTAGAGAGAACCGGAGACCGTTTTTACTTGAAACAAGACATTCCATCTTAGTCCTCACGGGTGACAACGCATCTGCATTTAGATTCGTAATCGTAAGATGTAGATGTCTGTGGGCCACAGCAACCACTTACTATCAGGTGGACTGTGTGCTCGTTTGTCATCCTATCAACACCTATAAACAAAAAGTTACATTAAAAACTTCATATACTTTTTTCATACACTCTTCCTTAGGGGGAGAATTTTTTATAATTTTTTATGGTGACACTCTTGGAGCACTTACGAGTATGTATATTATTTTACAACTGTTATTATTTCGTTTTATTTTTAGGAGTATTTAATGAATAAAATAATAAAAAATACGTGTGGCACTCGGGGACTGCGGCGGTAAAGCTATTGCATAGCATTTTTATCAACTTATGCAATTATAATAATTTATTTATTTTATTTATGCAGAATTTTTTTCTTTGTTTCTTTTTTTTATATTATTGCAAGTTTTTTCTTTAATATTAATTGAAGTTACACTTTTTGAGCGTGGTGACTGATAAGAAAATAATTTTTTTTCTTTTATTGTATAAATGAGAAGTTAATATTGTTTGTGATATTTTTATTATCTTACAATAGATGTAGGTTATTCAGGAATTTTTATCATTGAAACTATAGGTTTATGTTAATTAACGAGGTCTTTCGACAAACGATAATTTTCTATAAAGTCTGTGTTTATTAAATACTCTAAATTCACGAAAGTTGCTAGCATTACGACGACTCATATAAATCCAAAGAATATGCTTCTTGCAATAAACTATATTATTGTTTAAAATATTGTTATTATCTGACAATACATGCAACTAGTCTACACGCATACGTCTAGTAACACGCACACAAACACCGTGCCGAAGTCTACCGAACTTTAACGACGTTAGACGATGTTAGGTTTTCGGTTCTAGGTTTTTTTCGTTACGGAATTTCTTGATTCGGTCGCCGCGCTCAAAGCCTGCGATAAAAGCTATGCAATAGCTTAAAAATCGGTTCATAATAGACTATGATATCTAGTAAAATACACACAGAAAAACTGACAGTCGAATTGAGAACTTGTTCCTTTTCTTGAAGTCGGCTAAAAATAGTCAGATTTTTTTCTTGGTGTTTAGTAGTTGGGCGAACGATAAATAAATTCAGCCTAAAATGAACTATACCTTTTGTGAAAAATATAAATGTGGGTAACTATTAGGTAGTTTGAAGAGTTCGCTCGCAATTTATTTAGCAACGATAGTATGTGTCTACTCGTGGTTATATGTATAATATACATATTTTATGATGACAAGGTGCCAGTTTAAGACAAAATACCAAAATGAAATTTCATAGCTGCATTTTATATTTTAAAACATTTTTTCAACGAAATTACTTCATTAAGTACAAAATTGCGAGAAAAATACAAATATAAATCACTCATTAGTAGTTGAACGGTACAAACGTTCATTATACGTTTGAATAGTCGTATTCTTTACATTATGCTACTTAAAATATAATAATGGATGACCTACATTTTGCTTGGATTATCATGATACAATATCTGCTTCTTATTGTTTGATATGAGCTTAAATTACTATTACCTGTACAAAATTTACGCACGGAAAACAAATGATATAATATTATGAAATGATGGGATATAGGTATTTACATCATAAATACCATTATTAAAACAGTGCAATGATAAATTAAAAATGTGATCATAGCTAAGCCTGTTATATGTACATATTATGCATTATTATAATCAATCTTTTATTTTTTAATATATTTTATTAAAAATGCTATAATACAGGGTTATTGTCATATGATATGAAACAGGGTTATTTTTCACATGGTAGCCAAATTATATACTTAGGGTCTACCCACACTTACCACAACCACAACCACAACCACAACACGTGCATTTTGTATTGAAAATGAATTTACATGTACCACATTTTGCCATTATTACCCACTGCGTGAGTGATACCAACTACAACGCAACCACGACGCAACCACTACGGAACCACACGGAACTAGCAGCTCTACTAGCGACAACGCAACCACATCGACATTTTGTCGCGCAACCACAACACAACGCAAGTGCAAAAAACTGCAGCGACACTATTCACACGTTATTTTGTCCCAGCCATGTGGTGTGGTTATGGTACGTGTGGGTCGATCCTTAAGTTCAAATATACAAATAGTGACACATACCGTTATTGCATTTTTAATACGAGTGAATAAGGCTTCTACTTTATTTGAAATGATTCCCAATTGATTGAGTATAATTAATGTACAACTATGCTTACGCGTGTTTTTGATTCAATTGGCAACGTTTTGGCGCGGCTACCGTTACGAATGAAATGCAAAATAACCCTCTATATAGTATCCCTGAAAATTTATGTATATTTATCATGTAATATAATACATTATTAATAATATTGCCCAACCTGATTCAATATTTATTTATAGAGTGGCTGTTCCAATACGTTGTTTTGTTTGTCCGTTTCGGGGCCATGAATGCGTTACAGGTATTTTTTGCCCTTTTCTTATGTTTCTATAACCTGCAAAAAAATTCTTCCTTATAAATGTACTTTCATTTTTATATAACCGTTTTACGCTCTACCGTGAATTATTGTGGCCACACAAAATGTTAGATTATATTATTTGAACTTTTAACTCAGAAAAATTTAAACGTCACGAAGTTACAAAAAAAAGTTGCAACGCTCTATTGTTGTCCATGTGAGGGCGAGAGAGACTAAATGAAGGAACTGTGACATGGCTGCGAAAAGCGCTGGACAAAGGCTTCCTCTCATTTATAATGTTTCTAAAAGATTTATGGAACAATAAATAATAAGCTCCGCAATTCCAGTGCATGTTGACAAACTTACATGTTTAAAAAACATTTAATTTCTCAGACATCTTTCTTTACAATGTTTTCTTGCTCCGCTAAGCGCGTGATAAATCAGCACTTAAAAATTACAATTTCTTTGGTGCCGGCGGCGATCAAGGCCGTATTGCTCGCGCTATGTGACATTCACAATAAGCGCTTGACTCCTGAGCTAGATTTAAAACAAATTCACATAAAATATGAGAACTAACTTGCGTCACACGACGAGGTGGCTGGGACCGACGGTGCTGGCTGAATGCCACTGCTATGCGCGATGCTTCATGAACCGCTGCTCAACACACTCCTCCAATTCCGGACAATTTAGCTCTACAATATCAATACACATGAAAATCTAGTTTTAGTTTTTCTGGGCAACAATTATTGTAAGGATATCCCAATTTGAAATTTCCGGTAAATGTTTAAATAAAGTTATTAAAACATTGTTCAGTCACACGAAATATTTAAAAAGAAATAATTAGTAAAAGAAAGCTCAGTTATAATTTTTAAACATACAAAAAATTCAGTTATTAATTTGCAAGGTGATAAGGTTCTTTTTCTACCTAAGAGTTTAATGGCGTAAGCATTAACTATTTAGTTATTTAGTATTAGTACCTATTAATTATGATTTCTGGTGTTAAGCAACAGCGTGTGGACTACTTCCGGCTTCAAATGAAAGCGAAAATATGTACAGACCGTGAGAATTAAAAATTTAAAAAAATCATCGCCTTGAAAATTTCACACATCGATATTTCCCGTTGGAAGATTTGCCTTAATAGCTACGCTTGCCTAGTAGATCTGGAGGACTAAAAGCGTGTTGTTGGTCTAATTTTATAAATAAATAAGACCAACGACACACTTTATATAATAAATGTTTTCCCATTTATTATTTTATGTGGTACATAAAATATGTTTAACTTTCTAAGAATTGAATAAAACTATTATTTACGGATTTTATCGCGTTTAATTACTTTAATTTATTTTTATTATTATCCCGACGTTTCGGGCAGGGGGGGGAGTGTGGTCTATGTTAGAGGAATTGGGGTCCGTCCCCCGTGACCATGGGAGGTAAAGCACCCGAAACGTCGGGATAATAATAAAAATAAATTAAAGTAATTAAACGCGATAAAATCCGTAAATAATAGTTTTATTCAATGTGTAGTGTTCGCGTAAATTTAAGAAATCATTTCTAAGAATTGAATCGATTTAAATAATGATTAATTCAATTGTTCGTTTAAATCATGCATTTCGTTTAAATTATAAATTCTTCCTTAAAATATACCTCAGCGAAATGTCTATAGTAATTCTCAATTAAAATGAAGTTAATAATACTCTCCCACCTATTGTTCTCATAATACTTGTCTGAATCTTTGGTCCATTAGTTTTAAGTGCACTGCCAAACATGTCGGCCAGGGTCATCAGTTATTCTTTGTGGCACTGTGACCACTATTTTCATGTCTTCAATAATTTTATCGAGGTAACATAATGCTAAAAATTACATATTTTATTGACGGTCAGACGTATTCTATTGGTAAGTAATTAAACTCCATACTTAAACAAGTATTAGATTTAATAAATTAGACCAGAAGCGTGCGAGTAAGGTGTGCAGATGCACCTTAGTACGAAGTTAGTTACAATCAATTAGCTAAATATGAATGACTTTACTGTAGCGCAAAACGTTGTACGTAGCGTTGTAGTGGCGCTGTAAGAATAACCAATAACTTATATTGTAGAGATAAAACAAATAGACGGGCAGTAGTGTTTTCATAATCACTTGAAATAAGAATATTGTGTTTATTAACCAGCTTTCCAAGCACAGCAACTATGGAAATTATCCACTTACGTGGCAATCTATGGGGATGGATTTGTTCAGCAGTGGACTTTGTAAAGCTGTAATTATTTACAGCCTATATATACACGTCCCACTCCTGGGCACAGGCCTCCGCTCATTTCTGAGAGGGTTTTAGGGCAAGGAATTGTCCGCCGCGCTGCCTCAGTGCGTGTTGGCGAACTTCACGTCTTCGAAATAGTTTTTTTTCTTACACATGCAGGTTTCCTCATGATGTTTTCCTTCACCGCCGACCACGTGGTAAATCAGCACTTAAAATTGCAATTAACAATTTCATTGGTGCCGGCGGAGATCGAACCCAATTTGCTCGCGTACTGTGAAATTTACAGCGAGCGCTAACCATCTGAGCTACCACGGTTTAGCTGTAATAAATAAATAAATAAATAAATAAATGGATTCAAAAACCTGTGCGTCCAGTTTGGCTCCCCTTTACTTTACAAGCAGTGACATTTTGGCTCGACATTGGCGGTGTAGCTTTCCTATTAGACTTGGACTTATCAGGGAAACAGCGCCTGCAACATATATCACATTTCAGTTCCTGAAGTGCCACAAATAGAAATACAGTAATGGATTATTTAAATTTACATGTCTCTTACAAAGTCAAACTTTTCCGCAAATATCCTATGGTTGGTTATCTTAAGGTTTCAGATATTTGTAGATGATGTATTTGTTATTATTCTCTCTTATCTACTTCTGCCTTAGACTGCCACAGAGTCATAGTAAAAACAGAATAGTAAGATGTCTTAGGTGCCGACTGTTCCAGGGTTGTCAATCTCTTTTTGTTTAACAAGTAAGTCTCATTTAATTTTATAATTAGTTATAATATTTACTAACATAATATATACGGATACATACCTATGCATCATATTTGTTAACAATTACTTTACATGGTTAAAACTACTTTTACGGATTTTATCGCGTTTATTTTTGCTTTTATTTACTTTTATTTTTAATTCCCGACGTTTCGGGCGCTTTCCAGCACCCATGGTCACGGGGAACTGAGATGACTGACGTCCCGATGTCATTGTTAAACCCGGAGTACCTTCAGCTTTTTTAATTATTGTTTATGGTCCGCTCTATGCAAAATGAACTGACTATGTCTTGAGGTCTTGCAGTGGTATGCTTGGCTTTAGTTTTAATTTTATTGATTATAGGATCCCAAGCAGGTGGTAGTACCCAGCCTCCTTCTCTATTGAAATTAGGATGTTTTTTAATTTCAATAGCCTCACGTATCATCCTTGGTAGGAATCGGTGTTCTTTCGCGAGGATTTGTGGTCTATCAAATCTGATGTAATGGTTGGGGCCGTCCAGGATATGATCACAAACTGCAGACTTCCCGGAACGTTGATGCTTCACATCAGCTATATGTTCTTTTACGCGGGTTGTAATTGATCTTTTTTTTGTCCTATATAAGAGAGACCACATTCACAATCAAGCTTGTACACACCTGCATCTTGTAGAGGAATATGACACTTGACGGATGGTAGGAACTGACTAATCTTCTTCGGCGGCTTGTAGAATGTTATAATAGAAGCTCGCTTCAAGATATAGCCAATCTTGTCTGTGACACCTCTGACATATGGTAGTACAGCAGGCACACGCTCGACTGTGGCCGGCTTCACTCGGTTACTGTGGGCCACCGAAGTTGTATGGGTTACCAAAAATACACAAACTGAATGCTCCATTACGTCCAATAGTGAGTCAGATTGATTCGCCAACTTACAGATTGGCTCAATACTTAGCTAAAATATTATCACCACTCAGAGGACACACAAGAGCACACACTAAGGATTCATACCATTTTGTCAGTGAGATAAAAGACCTACATCTTACTGACGATGAAATCATGGTCAGTTTTGATGTTCAGTCTCTATTTACATGCCTACCTATTGAAGACTGCATCTCAATTATAACTAGGAAACTAGAGGAAAATAACATGCCAGCAGAATATGCAGTATTACTAAGACATTGCCTTACATCTGGCTATCTATTGTGGAAGGAAGAGTTTTACAAGCAAGTAGATGGTGTTGCGATGGGCTCACCTGTATCTCCCATTGTCGCCGATATATTCATGGAAGACTTTGAGGAGAAAGCGCTCCTTACTGCACCTGTTACACCAAGGATCTACAAGCGGTACGTAGACGATACTTTCACAATTTTACCATCAGACAAAGTAACTGCATTTTTAGAACATCTTAATTCCATAAACTCTAAAATTCAATTTACTATGGAGTTAGAGGCAAATAATTCCTTACCTTTCCTAGATGTGTTAGTCATCCAAAATCCTAATAACACCATTGGTCACACTGTGTATAGGAAAAAGACCCATACAAACCGATATTTAAACGGTGAATCTCACCACCATCCTTCACAGTTAGCTACCGTGGGCAAATCTTTGTTACAGAGAGCACGAGGGATCTGTGACAGCAAACACCTGGCCGCCGAGCTTCAGCACGTCAAGCAAGTTCTGCACGACAACAAGCTTCGGGTCCCGCGCCTACGTCACAGTAACCGAGTGAAGCCGGCCACAGTCGAGCGTGTGCCTGCTGTACTACCATATGTCAGAGGTGTCACAGACAAGATTGGCTATATCTTGAAGCGAGCTTCTATTATAACATTCTACAAGCCGCCGAAGAAGATTAGTCAGTTCCTACCATCCGTCAAGTGTCATATTCCTCTACAAGATGCAGGTGTGTACAAGCTTGATTGTGAATGTGGTCTCTCTTATATAGGACAAAAAAAAAGATCAATTAGAACCCGCGTAAAAGAACATATAGATGATGTGAAGCATCAACGTTCCGGGAAGTCTGCAGTTTATGATCATATCCTGTACGGCCCCAACCATTACATCAGATTTGATAGACCACAAATCCTCGCGAAAGAACACCGATTCCTACCAAGGATGATACCTGAGGCTATTGAAATTAAAAAACATCCTAATTTCAATAGAGAAGGAGGCTGGGTACTACCACCTGCTTGGGATCCTATAATCAATAAAATTAAAACTAAACCCAAGCATACCACTGCAAGACCTCAAGACATAGTCAGTTCATTTTGCATAGATCGGACCATAAACAGTAATTAAAAAAGCTGAAGGTACTCCGGGTTTAACAATGACATCGGGACGTCAGTCATCTCAGTCCCCCGTGACTATCGGTGCTGGAAAGCGCCCGAAACGTCGGGAATTAAAAATAAAAGTAATTAAAAGCAAAAATAAACGCGATAAAATCCGTAAAAGTAGTTTTAATCATGTGTAGTGTTCGCGTAAATATAAGAAATCATTAAACAATTACTTTAGTTCCATCTCAAATAATCAATGTTTGTCAAAAAAATCCAGCTTTATATATATTACAACAAATGCCAAATAACTAAAATACGAGTAAATTAACAAAGAACAGCTCAGATTTAATGTTTAAAATTAATTTGATCTGATGTGATATTATGATAATTAATGTACGTGTGAGGCATGTTTCTATGTATAGATATATAAATATAACCTGTTAATAAAAAGCTAATTTACTTAAACGAACGGATATATTAATTTATTTTACAAAGAGAAAAAAAGAAAATGAAAAAAGATGGTTGGCAAAATTTTATTAAAAGTTACAAAAGTCTCAAATAAATGTGATTGCGCAGCGCGGACGTGGGCTTCCACGACTCGGCCCGATCTTTCCGACTTAGCGAGTGTCGTTGTGTGTGTGCTGTGGCTCGTGCGTTCGTACTGTCACGTACAAGGCACGCACACATATTGGCGACGTTCGGTTACATTTTTAGAAGATAGTCTACTAATCTGTTTTTACTATGTCTACTAAAAATGCTGCTCAGGATAGATACCACCTTCGTACATAATACACTGACACCAGTTAACAATGCATGCTGATATGTTTCAGTTGGAAGATTATAGAGAAAATGTATAATTACAGGCTGTAAGGATTCTATCTTAAATAAAAAATCCCCCGGGATGATACCCATTTGCGTGTCCATTAGTTGCAGTAGTTACTCACCATCAGGTGAAATGTATATTTTGTCGCTTAATTTTTACAAAAAAATGTGAGTCACCAAACCACCCGTTCAGCGTAGTGAGTGTGAGAGTATCTTTCAACTAGTTGTCACTGGCAACCACATTTATTTATTTTTTTATCTTAGAATCTTTATTCTAAGGGGACTTAGAAAAAACGAGGATACAACATGTTATGTGCCAATGAAATATTATTTTAATATTTAACATGCATGTTTCTTTTATCGATGATAAGTTGTGAAAGACGCAGACACATATACACAGAAAATGTGAATGCTCCATCAACCAGAAATAATTTTGTTATAATTTGATATTAAATTAGGCTAATTTTGAAACTTAATTTATGTTTTACATTATAATATTCTAAGTTGACATTTAAGGCTCTCTACCACGAAAACGTATTATTTGCAAATGAAATTTTACAAAATGCGTTTTAATAGAATTGAATAATGCATAATTTTCTCACCTTAATAACATACTAGATTTTAATAAGTCAATAAATGCTTGCATAAACTTTTTATTCATAAAGCAATAGATTACTGGATTGCAACATGATGAACAAAAAGCTAACAGTTGTAGCATTAATATTCCTTTTGTTCCTACGTTCGCATATAATTGATGTGGATAAAACAGGTATACCTGCAACAATTGTAATATATTAATATAAATATATTATATTTATGTGACTAAACCATAAATAAAATTAAAACCGAATAAGGAAAAAGGAAAAACTTCAAAGACAAAATACAATTACATAATCGAAGAATTGAAAGTGGAAGGTCCGACTTCGAAAGCTGGTTTAAAAAGATATTTAAATATTTTAGTAAGGACTAAGTAATTTCATAAGTTCAAGGTAACAAACAAATGTTGTCTAAGTAATTACATTATAAACTTCACCCCTTATCTTTGCATTATTTTTCACCCCTTATATTTGCATGATTTTTTCTAAAAATCAATAACGTTCATAAGTCTAGGTTTAGTGTTTTAGGGAAAATCGGTGAATCGGTTCTAGTTTTTATAAATATATTAATTATTTTATGGTATAAGGGTGACAAAGGAGCACGCAGTCCACCTGATGGTAGGTGGTTGCGGCGGCTCATAGAGTTCAGTACAGATTCATCCTCGATTGTGAATCAAAATTCAGATGCGCTGTCACCCGTGAGGACTAAGATGGAATGCCTCGTTTCCAGTAAAATGAGTCTCCGGTTCTCTATAATTAACATACGAAACAAAGCAGTGTTAAGCTGCTATTTTACGCTGCTATTCTGTGAGAGAGTAGTCCTTTCCCGGTCGAGTTGACCTATTCGTACTACAACTAAACCAGTATTGGATGGCATGCATGGCCTACCACGTATATATAAGAACTTATATGTTGCATATTTTTCAAATATTTTTATCAAGCAATCACTTTACCGAGTTCTATGGTAACTCCTTTACAGTTTAGGCTACACGTCTTTGGCAATCCTTGCCCGATGATATCAGAAAAGTTCCCAATAAGTATGCTTTTAAAAAGTCGGTCTGCAATCATTTATTAAAGATAACGCTTCTTACATGAATCATCCGTGTTATTAGTATTATATGTATATATATTTAGTGTATGTATTGCTAAACAGACGATTTTACTTAAAGTTATTTGTTGTACTAATTATATATATATATATATATATATATATTATTTAGTGTACGTATAGGTTTTGTTGTACAATTTATTTATTAGTAAAATGTGTATCCTTTTTATTGCTACACCTACGTCAAATCACCATCCCACCATTCCATGGGTTGACTGTAGAGAACGCCTCAAGGCATTAAGTCCGCCCTTTGTATTCATTTGTTTTAGGAATGCAATAAACAATAAATAAAAAAATAATGCTTTTAGCTTTAAATATAGGTAATGTTCATTTTGTGTACCATAATGGTAGCATAATACTGTGTAAGAGTACGCGAGCAACATTGTATTTTTGATTCAGATTATCACTGAAAGTCAGACTTGTGGTCAACATACTGTTGCGTGCCTAAGTTGACGTCATGTACCCGGCACTAGCGCCATCTAGTGTCGGGGACGAGAGCGAGGGGAGCTTTCCAGAAAATTACATCACTAATCTTTCAACCGACAGCGCCATCTAATATCGAAACGAAGAACTAAGCTTCTAGAAGCCCGACACTCGAACTTTCGGCGCCTAGTCGATTGGCGCGCGTATTTACTTGAATATTCTGGATGTTTCGGTGATAATGTGTATTTAAAGACGCTGCAAGATGCGAGCGGGGAAGTATTGAATTTGGCGAGACAAGCGAAGCTTCGGAGCGGAATAAAGTGAATCAGTGTGATTAATTATTAGTGTTTTAAGTTTAATTAGTGTAAAGTGAATTAAAGTGTTAATTTTGGAAATTCTATCGGCAGTTTTTATTGTCACGAACCTCAATCTCATAACAATTGGTGTTAGAGGTGGGATTAAATCATGCCGATTTTACCTAAGGAGGAAACGGAGGGAGTCCGTACCCGAAGTCAACGCTAGCAGGAGACGGACCAAAGAAGATTTGGTGGTGCAACGCCGCAGACGTCGGGGGGTTGCCGCCGACTGCAGGCCCGTCAGTAGCTCCTACATCTGCAGCACCTGACTTAGGTGCTCTGATGGTGATGCTGCAGGAGCAGGCTCGCCGGTTGGAAGAGCAGATGCTCCTTGTGAAGGACCTTCATGATACTTTTGGGAAAGAGATAAGGGAGGTGAAGGATAGGGTTGCTCAACATTATAACCACCTATCGGAAGCTGAAACCCAAATCAAGGAAGCTAAAACTCAAATCGGCCAAGTGAACAATCGGGTTGATAACGTGATGGCCGACGTGAAGGAAACGCTGGACGAACTCAAACTTGGGGATGGACAATAGCTCCCGTAGTAGCTACAACACCTTCGATACGTGGATTCAAAGTGCCGCCGTTCGACGGGACTTCTTCCTGGTTCGGCCTACAAAATCCAGTTCGAGGCCGTCATGGAGGCGAACGGCTGGAATAAAAGCCAAGCCATGACTGCACTCACCCTAGGCCCGCGTGACCAAGCCTTAACTGTGTTGGAAGCTCTCGGTAAGAAAGTGACCTACGAGCAGCTCCTTGAGGCGTTGGAGGCGAGATATGGTGACGCTCACCTGGAACACGTCTTTCGCGCGCAGCTTAAAGATCGCGTGTAACGCAGCAACGAAAACCTGCAGCAGTGGGCCCTTGAGGTGGAGAAGATAGTTCGAAAAGCATACCAGTCTGTACCTGCGCTCATTGAAGGGAACCTGGTTCAGACATTCATCGACGGCATCCGCGACCTTGAAGTCAGAGCTGCTGTGAGGCTCGGGCACCACGAGACGCTTAAGGACGCCTTGGCCCATGCACTGTTGGTGGAAGCCGTGCGGCAGGATCTTCGCTCCCATCGCGTCAGGAAGGTCGCAGCAGCTACGTTTCGCCACCGCAATAAAGGATACAGCCCTAGGTGCTATGATTGTGGGGAAAAGGGCCATCTTCGATCCAGCTGCCCTAAGCGAACTGTAGGAAGGGAAGTTGATCGATCTCAAGAGACAGCCGTCGTTTGCAAACGGTTGTCCCTAAAGCTAAAGTGCCGAATGTTCTACAGCTGTGCCATAATGGTCGTTCAAGAGTCCATCTGGGAGTTAAACGAACTCTATTGAAGGTCCGAGAACAGTTTTACTGGGTCCATTATTGTGACAATGTCGAGGATTGGTGACGTACATGTACGGCTGTGAGGGGACCTCAGACACGTAGTAGAGGAGCATCGAAGTCGTACAATGTTGGTGCACCATGGGATAGGACAGCCCTTGACATTGCGGAGACGTTACAGAAAGACGCAACTCCTAAAATCGTCCATGTGGATCGCCTGGCGCATTATTATGGGGCTGATAATGCTCGGGACGAGCATGTCTTACGAGGGGGCAGTGTTGCGCGCCTAAGTTGAAGTCATGTACCCGGCACTAGCGCCATCTAGTGTCGGGGACGAGAGCGAGTGGAGCTTTCCAGAGAATTACATCACTAATCTTTCAACCGCCAGCGCCATCTAGTATCGAAACGAAGAACTAAGGTTCTAGAAGCCCGACACTCGAACTTTCGGCGCCTAGTCGATTGGCGCGCGCATTTACTTGAATATTCTGGATGTTTCGGTGTAATGTGTATTTAAAGGTGCTGCAAGATGCAAGCGGGGAAGTATAGAATTTAGCGAGACAAGCGAAGCTTCGGAGCGGAATAAAGTGAATCAGTGTGATTAAATGTTTTAAGTTTAATTAGTGTAAAGTGAATTAAAGTGTTAATTTTGGTAATTCTATCGGCAGTTTTTATTGTCACGAACCTCAAGCTCGTACCAATTCTGTTACGAGCTTGGTGTTCGAGACATTGAAAACTGCCGAGTGAATTACCAAAATTTGCACTTTAATTACAGAACACTAGTTACAACTTAAAACCACACTAATAACACTACACAATTATACTACTGATCACTTTAGCTCGCTGTTGTATCGCTTCGAAGTATTCGCTTGAATTGCCAATTCTATACTGACTCAGTTCGCGGTCTATTTCGGCTATTATATAAGGCCTCAGATAGTTTCAGAACCTTCTACTGTAGAAACATCTGGAATGTTCGAGTAAGTACCGGTCCCGGCTGACTAGGTGTTGATAGTTCTAGAAAGTTCTAGCATGGAAATATCTAGAAGGATCTTGACTCTCCTAGTTCTGCTACTCGATAATAGAAGGCGCTAGTGGTAGCTAGTGTCGCCATGTACTAGGGTGCCAGGCATCAATTGTGGCGCGATATAATACGTACACTTTCTTAACGCTTGTAATTTTATATTTCAAGCTTTAAGAAGGTGTACATATGTTGTGTTGTGTATGTCATTTGGTTTATGGCAAATAAAGTTTCTCTTTCTTTTCTTCCATATATGTAATATATATAATTATATGTAATATATAGCAGTATGTATATGTATTGTGTAGTTTGTAATGCGTGAGCACCAGTATTTAGTAGGCTAATAAAGTACTTTTTAGTTGCTGCCATCTAAGTCGCGGCCCTTAGCAAGGCGAACATACATTTTATATATTTATAGTGAAAAACAAGTACCCCAAATAACCCACTAGTAAATAGGAGGCCCGGTACAGTAGCATTATGCTGCTGCTTATTCTGTTACTTTGTAAGTGTGGACCTTTCACCGATCCACCCAATCCCTCGCGACTATGCAAGAGGGCTAACGCTATAGCGTACTGAGGGCAGAGGATTTTTTTAATAAAACCCAGCAGTAGCAGCATAGATACTTCCGTAATTTACGTAAACTATTTTGCGTTACTTACTTAATGATCGCTAGTAAACATACTCTCGATATATTTCTCTTTAATTTCGTCGACATGCATGTTTTCCTACGACATATTCTTTAGTTACTTAGTTCCTAAGTTTTATTTGTAATTTTGTTAATAATATTGATTTATGGTGGTAAATTTAAAAGCAAATATTATAACTTACCGTGTTAACAATGTGCAGTGGCGTCCAACAAACAAAAAATACAAATATTACAACAAAAAGCATTTTTATAACCTGAAACAACAATAAAGTAACTGTTTAAAATAATTTTCGTTATATTTTACGAATTAAATTTGTATTAAACAACTAATTTACTAGTAATAATCTACCTCTGATAGTACAGAAGAACCTATAGTACAAACAACTAAGGCTATATTTATTTAAAATTAGATGTCACACGATTTTTTCAATAAAATTAATAAAAGACTGTGTTGAATGACATTGTAACATTGTAAACACAACTATATAGTCATTTAACCCGGCAGCACTCACTACAGGGTAAAAATACCACAGGGTATTTATAAACGATTATTTTTTCTTTTTTAAACACCCAGACGGCACGGGATTTTAGGTACCTTCCAACCCAACACACACGCATACTGCGAGACAGCCAGCTTGCTCTGGGCATTAGGTGACGACGGACCTATAAAGTGAGTATGGACGAAAAATACCCGGTAGCAACGGTTCTTGTCATAATAATTTACAGTTTACACATACTTGTTTTTTTGTTTTAGCACTTAATATAATGGACTTTGAAATAAATGAAAGTGTTATAGCAGAATTGCATTTACAAGAAGACTGTGATAACGAAAATATGTCGGAAGGAGACTATTTAGATGTTCTCTTTGTCTAATACCAATGAACTTTCCTAGTATAAGTTATTTCAGTGGTACATTTCCAGTATCTATAGGCAGTGGTTCTTCATCTGTTAGTGGAATTTCACCTAAGCTTGACGGTGCATCAGTACATGAATCATTACTTACATATGCACTATGTCCACGCTTTGTAAAAATATTAATATTTTTTTTTGTTTTGCTTGTGAATTAAGTTTTTACATTGATTTTTACAGTAGTATAAAGTTTAATTTTCTATTTTTCTCACTTTTATATGATGAGCACTCATTTTTTTTAATAAGTAAATAAACACTATAACTTGTACTTGCCATTTTATTAATTGATAATAACTTTAATAAAACTACACCATGCTCATAAATTGAAAGACAATTTTTTTCAGAGATTTCATTCCATTTAAATACTGTGGTAATTTTCATCCGGTAGAGGGTACTCGTGTCTGTAAATACCTAGCCAGTACCTCTGAGTTAAGGTGTAGTATGTTTTAAAATTAAGGCGCTTTTAAATCGTATATATACGGTAACAAAATTCTATATTAAAAAAAAACTTTTCATTTTGTATTCGGTTTTTACCTGAAATTGCAGTTTTTTATGATTATTTCATGCTAACGTTATTTATCCATATATTTTATTTCTATTAATAAAAGTTATCAATGCTAAGGAAGTGGCAAAACAAATAATGGGTGATGCGTTCATTTGTAGTATTCGCTCCGTTAACGTCCTTGATGTTGCGTGCCGCTTATGGCGCGTTGCTGCCACGACGGTACTCATATTCCATAATTACTCGAATTTTTAACGTATCCATGATGACGAAAGAGATTCAAATTCAATGAAAAGATAACACTCATCAATAAAAAATGACTATTTTTGAAAAAAAAAATATTTCATGTTTTAATAATAAAACTGATTTGAAATTCGAATTCTTAGCCACATAAAAATTATTTTGATTTGAAATGACCAGTACTGCAGAACGGCAATTTCGTAGGTAAAGACCTATTGTTATAATTACTATGCTTTTTCATTTATCAGTCATTTTCGTCTAAAGGGTAAAATAAAAATGTAATTAAATTTCTCAAATTTTATTCCTATAACGAGGTATATAAACATTAGATATTTATTTATAACATAACTAGAAGAAAAATAGCTCCAAAATTTTTAGCTGACCTTGCGTTTAGCTTTTATACTTTTTCCAAAATTTGTAGAACGCACCACGTGACCAGATTCTACATTCGTGTGCACACAATGCGTTTCTGCCTTCTTCTCAAACTCTTGACCTTGTTCTTTCCTCTGATAATAAAACGTAAATTCATTTGAAGAGTGAGAGTTTTAGGTGGTAGACTGGTAGAAAAATTTTGTTAATATAATCAGGTAGTTCCGTTCTACTGAGAAAATACCACACTATGCCACGCTCTCGCAGAATACATATTTGGTAAATTTCGGAAACCAGAATCCTTTTTACTGGTAACGAAGCATTGCAACTTAATGATTAGGGGTGGCATCGCCTTTACGTTTTGATTCATTATCGATTAAAGATGTTGATGTCTATGGTATGAAGTATTTCCTTGCCATTCCACACATTCATAGGCTTCGCCCTTAGTTTGCCTCAGTATATTTTCCTTAATCGCCACGCTTGGGAAGCGGGTTAAGAATGACTATGAGATAATAATAGTTGCAGTTTAAAAATAGATAAAATATTATATTTATTGTAAATATATCTTTATTTTTGTTGTCATTCTTTGTTTTTCTTTTTGTCTTTATATCATACCGGAACCAAATGTGAAATACCCCGAACGACGAAAAACAGGGTCGAAAGTGCGAGAGATCTTTTATTTCGTGGCCATGTTAAATTAAGAGGTTACGTTTGAGACATTCATCTCCTGCCATAATTATACCTCGTTCAGTTTCTCAGATCCCGAGCTATTTCGATGTAACAGTAAAGTGTTTCCCTTTGATGTTAACGTTTGTTCTAATTGATGATTATTCTTACGAGTAAATGATTCCTCCACTGTCACTAGAACAAAGAACGACAAATTTTAAATTTAAATTTAAAAATCAGTTAAATATAATTCCATAATTACTAATTATTTATAATGTCTATAGAATAGCATTTAATTAATTAACAATGTATTAGAAACATGACCTTTGAATTAATTCGGTTATAACATATTTTACAAAATAAATTCAACAGAAAACAATAGACGTTATACGGGCTGTCGCCATATACATTAGTCCAAAACTTTAGGAGGAAGATTTTACTCCAAACAGTTTTACAAATACATCTTCTCTTAATTTTTGTTAAAACTTTCTAAATTTTATTTTTTAGGAAAACTATTCTTGATTATTTAATTAATATTATCAGTCCAATGATATATAAAAAATCATTAAAAGATGAATAATAACAAAAATGACACTTCGAATGCTATTGAAGGTTTGCTAGTGCAACGTTATTACACTATTTATCTGACATACTTTATTTGATACATGAAAATAATAAAATTAATGTTTTATGTGACTAGAGTAGCGAATTGAGAAAAAGTTTAAAAGGATCATGAGTTCCAAACTACTGGCTTCTTTGTAATTTATTTTATATCTAGATGACTCTCTAGCTCAGACAAAGAAATCGGACGACTTTAAATTTTACTTACATTGTTTCTGCCACTTTAAATTATGCTTGTATTCATTGCGCGTTCCCCTCCATAACTTAGTCACAATTAAATAGTAGGAAAAAGACATAATAACAAACGGTATAAGCAATAAGACAGCATCAGAGCCCAAAGTAAAAGCTATATTCAGTTCTAAACTAGTCCATTCCTCTCTGCACTTGTATCCTGAAATTTTTCAAATTAGCGAAATGAGCCGTTGTAGCTCAGATGGTTAGCGCTCGCTGTAAGCTTCGCAGTACGTGACTTGCCTGGGTTCGATTACGATTACGATTTAAGTGCTGATTTTCCACGTGCTCGGCGGTGAAGGAAAACATCGTGAGGAAACCTGCCTGTCTGAGAAATAAGAAAAAATATTTTCCGAAACAATGTGATTTTTGCCTCAAAAAATCACATTGTTTCGAAAAATATTAAAAACTATAAAATATAAAATGGTAAAATCCTCTCAGAAATGAGGCGAGGCCTGTGTATACGACGTAAATAGGCTATAACTTAACTTTTTAATATAATGATAAAAATCGTTCACAGACACATCAAGACCCGAAACGACAATCGTTATAAAGCTTAATCTTAATTAGAATATAATAGAGTAGTATAGAGTAGTACAGAACAGAACAGAAGAGAATAGAAAATAATAATAGATTTTTTATTCAATATATAATTGTTATTTAAAATGATTTTTACTTTGACCACTGACTGGTTTTGAAAAATTCTGTTCTGGGAAGAACCAGTAATAAACCCAGCGGGACTTATTACACAGTAACATAATACAGTACAAAATATGCTGTACAGTTATTTACAACACTCGTATAAGAAACAGCTTGGAAGAGAAAACCTCATTCACATAGCTAAATAACAACCATGTAATCGTTTATATTATGTTAACCCTTTTTATAAATTTCGTTTTGTAAAAAAACTAACTTTATGATAGATATACCTTGTATATTCTCTAGAACTTAGGTGTAATAACGTTTACATTGCCCCATTAATGCCTAATTAATTAAATGGGGCAAAAATAAATTAATGTCCTATGAATTACTGAGTCTGTGGTGTCGAGTAACTGATATTGCTACTTATGTTGCTTTTTCTGGTATTTACAACTTGTTCATCACTTATTTTTAAGCCACTTGGGTCTTTGTAAACATACATTAAAGTTAATATTAAATTACAGCCTATATACTGTCCCACTCCTAGGCACTGGCCTCCGTTCATTTCTGAGAGTGTTTTAGGGCAAGGAATTGTTCGCCCTACTGCCCCAATGCGTGTTGCCGAACTTCACATGTCTTCGAAATTAATTTTTTTCTTATTTCTCAGACATGCAGGTTTCCTCACGATGTTTTCTTCACCGCCGAGCACTTGGTAAATCAGCACTTGGAATTGAACTAACAATTTAATTGGTGCCGACGGGGATCGAATCCGGTTTGCTCGCGTAATTTACAGCGAGCGCTAACCATCTGAGCTACTACGGCTCTACAAATATACATTAGGGTAGGTAATTTATTTATTTTAATTTTAATTTTTACGATGAGAGACTTTCGGTTTTAGGTTGTAAACATATCTTTATTGCACTTTTTTTGTAAAACAAAGTTGTTTTCTTATTGTGTCTGCATAACTGTACTTACTCGTGAAATCTGACTTCTCGTAAAATCTGGGTACTTTAAGCTTAAATAAATTGACATTTTAATCACAAGCAAGCAAAGCCCTATCATCTAATATTTGCTTAAAATGGTTATGACATTAAGTTTTATGACATACAAAAAATATCATATAATTTAAAATGTTTAAAGCTATTTAGCATTAATAAAGCTTAGGAAACTTAAATACCACCTTGAAATTAAATATAATTAGGTATCTTACTATTTTCTCCCATAGGTTGTAAGGTTGACATGATTGCAATGGGCGAGTTAAACAACAACGAGAGCACCCACAATATTCCGATCATTTTGAAAGCGTGGCACTGGGTCTGCCACTTTCTAGACTTCAGTGGTTTGCAAATGGCAAAATATCTCTCCAGAGATATTGCTACTAATGTCCAGACGTCAACAGAAACTGAAACAGCTGAAAAAAACTTTATTAAATAATACATAAACATTATTATATATTATTTCATAAAGTCGGGTAACAAGATGTTTAATAATTTATTACTTCTCAATATCCTAAAGTGACTAATATTAGATTTGGTATTTTATTATAACTCGTATGGAGTTTTATTATTTAGGCAAGCTGATACTGTTTGGTTCTGTAAATTAACAGCTGTATTAGTCGCCTTTGCTCAGAACTCTTTTTTAAATCTGCATCAAATAATAAACAACAAGCCTTTTTAATAATAGTACTGTTCATCCTCTCGCTTAAATCATTTTTCTCAGATATGGGTTCAACTTTTGATGAACTATGCCCTTTAGTTTTGTAAAACTATCAAATTTACTATTTCAAAATTCACGACCATTTTTATTGCGTAATACTTTAATTTTTCTATTGACTTCTCTTGTTTGGCTGTATAATCTTTAAGACATTGAAAAGCTTCACTCTTATTTTTCATGAAGTAAATATGAATCATAGAGCTATAATCATAATAATTAGTAAAAATAATCGTTTTATCCACAATATCTTCTTAAAAATTTCAAATGGCTTAAATTTTTTATTTCTTATATAAATAACCTAAATCAAAATATCTTTTCTTGGGGTCTTTCCAAGGTAGATTATATTATATTAGTCTCATGGTAAAACTGAAATAAACGCTGAGATGCAAAAATAATAAGGCAAAGTTTGTTAATAAAACAAAAAACAGACTCTTTAATAAGAAACTTGTGCAGTTTTTCTCATTAAGTTTCTTTCATTGAAGTTTTTAATATAGAAATAAAATCTGGAGACTAGAGCCTGTTTTCATTCCATAGTAAGTAAGAGATAAGATTACTAGATATTTCGAAGACAAGTGAAAATCTCATTTAGCATTCGAACCGTGCAGCGGTACACATTTTTAAATTTTATAACCAGTAACACGACGCTGAGTTGCGTTAAGCTTTCATCGTCATCTATTTTATATTAGTATTTTTTGATAACCTATTGATTAATTCAAGCCATCAAGTTTCAAGCATCGCACGTTGCTACATAATTCTCATCGACCCACACCATACTATGGAAAGTTGGGGTTAAAAGTTGTCTTCCTCGTAAGATTAATATGACACAAAGACCTTCAAGGGTAAAACCTACTCATTCCTCAAAGGTCGGATTTCTCTCGTGCTGCAGCTGTCAAGTGGCTTCAGTGGATACTACCAGTCAGGTAAGCAGCATGGTCGTCATTGAATATGAAAAAAAAACTTATAAAATCTTTAGCTGATATATAAAAAAATAAACTTATAATATTAATTTTTTTACTATATATCAATATATACAGTCTGCGGTAATTCGATACTTATATCTTCTCTTCTTGACATAAACGTAGACTGAGGGAGGATGCCCTTGTGCGTTAAGTCCTCCTTTTTAAAAAAAATACATTGACATACAGTAGTATTTGCAATATTTTGAAAATAGATTACGTTTATATTAATTTGTATACGTGACGTAGAAACATATGACTTGGCTTAAGTTAAGTTTCTTTCAGGATACTGAATAAGAAAACTTATTAAAATAAATTTCCTCATCAAATGTAGATATTTTTATCCAAACAATCAAGTTTTTTATTATATAGCATAGGGTGACAAACGAGCACGCAGTCCACCTGATGGTACCAGTGGTTGAAACTGCGGCCCAGAGACATCTACATCTATCCTCCATTAAAAATCAAAATGCAGATGCGTTGTCACCCGTGAGGAACTGAGATGGAATGCCTCGCTTTTTCCAGTAAAAAGGGTCTCCGGTTTCTCTACACTCATTCATACGAAATACAGCAGCATTAAGCTACTATTTCACGCTGGTATTCTGTGAGAGCGTGGTCCTTCACCGAAACGGTCGAGCCGACCCATATTCGCTTTTTTTGTTTCATACTACAATCAAGGCTATACTACTAATATAACTGAAGCATGAAGGCTCATATTACCACGTAAAATATGTTTTACTGAAAATCAAGTAAAGTGTTTATTCACATATTATATAGCACACATTTTTTACCGCCGTGTAGTGGCGCACTGTGCTACATCAGTTTTCCAGTTTGGTTTGGTTGTTTCAAGAAGCGATAGAGGAAAGATGAAACAGGATGGTGGGATAGCAACATCCTCGTGTACAACAACTCAAAGTATATTGAAAACCATTTGCTTGGGATTGTTTCAACCTAACAAAATATGGTAAGCTTTATTACTTTCGCTATATTTGGTTTGGGATTGTTTCATACCTGAAACAATCAATAGGAAAGGCTTATATTCTGCTGTGGACTCTAATAATCTGTAATGATGATAACACCCTATACAGTAATAAGGCAGACAAGACGGAAACATGTTCACTCACACACACATACCCCAAGAAAGGCAAACTTCTCGAGAAAATTCCAATTCCCGTGCTTCAATTTACATCAGTTATCTTTGGCGGACCAAACCTGGACATTTTGTACGTCTCTTCAGCTTCTATGAATTGAGGGTCGGCGTAAAAGCCATCATGCGGTTCAACCTTCCGGGTCACTGGACTCGGAGTAAAAGGCCTTTCTAGTAACAGTCCCAATGTACTGCACGTTCTTTTTTATAACCCATTCCTTACCCAACTATATTCAAAGTACTGTGATACTAGAGTTGTAGTTTTCTTTTCAGTCTTCTATTGAAGTATAAAAATATACAGTAGCTTTTTAAATGATAAATTAATAAAATGCAAACAAAATTATTATTATTTTAATATGTACCTCGTTCCGTTGATATTTTTAAATATTACTTAATCAGTATTACAATACTTATGTATTAACTTACCTTGTAGTAAAGGAATCAGTTTACACATAGCTGCTCCGAATAGAAATTGTTTGTATATTTGACCAATTAGAGTAAAAGGTATACAGAATACTCCCAGCATCAAATCAGAAATTGTCTAAAACAAAAATGAGCACTTTATTTACCACAATTATTTGTTATATTACAAAAATATTTCGCTTCTTAAACACAAAAAGGATAATTCAAAAACTGGATTTTTGAAACACGAGTCCATGGATTTGTTATACAATAGTATTCGATACTATATTTTGTTTTATATCATAAGTTGTCTTTTTTTTACCATATAAACTTTGTAATAAATATCACCCACGCGGGTAAAATAGCTTACCTCGGGTGGAATTATATAACTAATAGGGGGGGGGGGGGCCTTTTATACACATTTTCTAAAATATTTTAATTGTAATTAATAATTCGGGAAATTACGACACATCTCGTCAGATATACCTCAAACTCTGAAAACTAGATTGTACAACCAGTTTGTGTTGCCAGTAATGACTTACGGATCTGAGACGTGGTCCTTCACTGCTAGCCGAATGAGGACGCTCAAGGTCGCTCAGCGAGCTATGGAGAGGGCTATGCTTGGAGGTTCTCTGCGTGATAGATTCAGAAATGAGGATATCCGCAGTAATACCAGAGTGACCGACATAGCCCAACGGATTAGTAAGCTGAAGTGGCAATGGGCTGGCCATATAGCTCGAAGAACCGATAACCGATGGAGAAGAAAGGTTCTTGAGTGGCAGCCTCGTACCGGTAGGAGTAGTGTAGGGCGAACCCTCACTCGATAGAGTGACGACCTGGTAGGACATGCAGGAAGTCGATTAATGCAGGTGGCTCAAGCCGTGCTTTGTGGCATTACTTGGGGGAGGCCTATGTTCAGCAGTGGACTTGTGAAGAGCTGTGATGATGATGATTTTGTAATAAGACTGTTTTATAGAAAAAGAAAAAAAAGTTTAACTTACTTTAATTATGTGATGATTAGTACCAAAATATTGTAAATTACTCAACCCCTTGTTACCTTTTGAATGTATAATACCACAATATCTACATTTTCAGGATGATGAAGATAAATAGATTTCATGATGATAATAATGATATTATAGAATAATTAACAAAACTTAAAAAATAAACACCTTAACTTACTCAAAACTTACCAAATTCAACAAATAGACGTTAAGGACGTTCATCATCTTTTGATTGCTTAGTAAAGTTGCGATAACGAGACAGTTGCCCAATGTCGATAACAAGAATACGATGATGTAAAGTGGCGTTATATATCGCAATTCGTATATGTGGCTGGCAGCGTTATTAACGCTCGAATTGTTTACGTATATTGTAAGTAACAAACTTTTGTTAAACGCTATTAAATTATCCCCCTCCATGTATTTTTGCTTGAAGAATATCTAAAAACAAACATTAGTTTTAATATAATCACATTCTTTGCACTAAATGTGTGTGCGTGCGTGCTGTGTTTGCGTGCGTGCTTGCGTGCGTGCGTGCGTGCGTGCGGGCGTAATAGCGTGCGTGCGTGCGTTCGTGCGTGCGTGCATGCGTGCGTGCGTGCGTTCATGCGTGCGTGTGTGTTATTGACCAATTTCGATTTTCCTTCATAAACCCCTAGCTACACAACACTACACTACAGCCAGACCATCGCATTCGTCGCATCGCATCGTATACGTCGGAATAGCGTTTCATACCACAAATCTTCAAAAGATTTTTGTATAAGTTATATATAAATCAATACTAAATTGCAAAATATTCATAAATATAATATACTAATTGCTAAAAACTTAAATTTAAAGTTAGTTAGTTAAAGTTTGAACTTAAATTTTTCTTCTAGTTTTCCCATACAATGAATCCCCTTACAAATTCTTTTTTCGGGACGATACGGGCACCACCTGTAAGTTAGTTGTACTATGGCCATAACCTTCGCGCAAGTGCAAGCAATAGGTTGACAACCTCAGATGAAGTAAAAAATGTAGATATCGCACCTAGAACAAGAAACTGTAACCAATTTTATAACTTTGTGTGTTGCCACTTTTTTAAAGTCCCTGAAAATCGAGATACAATACTACAACTATAAGAGTAATATGCGATGCGAATGCGAAAGTATATCTGTCTGTTTTAATTAATTTCAATAATTTGACAATTCAAAAAAATTATGAGGCGTCTGTAGATCATTTAAAAGTCTTCTTGATAGATTGTCCAGTGAGCATGTAAGCATCGATAAAATACACAACATATGTAATGTAAAACATGTTTATTATAAAACGTAACTTAATACTAAAAAAACTAGTTGGAATAAAAAATAAATTTTCATGGAATTAAAAATATACTTTTCTAAATGAAAAAAGGTATATTTTAGTAAATACAAAATAGAACAAACTCCAGCGGGAGCACAAAGGAGTGTTCTAATTTGTACCCCGAGTAGGAGAGATATGAAGTATCAGCCGGAAAGGACACCTGAGTCTCGGTTAAAAAGAGCAAGGCCGGCTTTGCCGTCTCCGGGTGGTAGTGGAAGCATTAAGATTGGAATGAAGTGTCCTGATGTTGCAAAAATTCACGGATAGCGTGACAGGGGTCGTCTTGGTCTTATTGTTTCGCTTGCCTCTAGCAGTTTTAGTCGCGAACAGTATTCCGTTATTCCGTATTAAATATTTACCCTGAATTCAATTTGATGTAACATAAAAACAACAAATTAAAAAATATGCTGACTACATATATTGTTATAACTTGCCAAAAATAATTATCCAATATTGGCCATTAGAATAATAAAACTGCAACATTCTCCCGTTACGTATCACGAAACATTGACATTCGTGCTTCGAATAACCTTCAAAATTGTGTTGGAATACAAATTAAATATAGTTAAATAAGTGTTTACGAGTGAAACGACTTCAGCTTCAGACTTTTTGTTCACTTTAGTATTGTTTTTGTAACATTTAACTACACAGGACGGCATTTTGTAGGCAAATTTACTGCACGACGCCCCGGGAAGTACTGAGCGAAAATGAGCGTAGTTTAATGTACGTGTGTGCGGCGTGACTCGCTTACCTGAAGGAGCGGAGTTTTTTGGCTTCACCAATAACAACTGTATCTACCTTTTTTTACTTCATCTGAGTTGACAACGTTTAGCGCAATTTAATGAACGGTATGACAATGCATCAAATACGAGCAAACAAACATTAATTTTACATATTAAGAAGAAGATAAGCTAATTATGTTAGTATACATACTCGTAATATTAGTCTATTTCAATTTTGTCAATATGTTTTTATCAGTAGTTTTTTTTCTGATTAACTACATTTTTCATTATATTTTTGGCACTTATCAAATTATTTTTCCACACGTCCCGGGTTGACTGCGAGAGAATGTCAAAAGGCATTAAGTAAACGAGCATTTGGCTCTGATGGTCACTACCACCGCCCATGAACAACCGCAACACCAGGGAATTACAGGTGTACAATAACAAGCTGTCAAATATTATAGAATGATAATGCAAATTTCCATTATCATTTATCACCTTTATAGCCCTTAATAAGTCCTCTGCTGAACATAGGCCTCCCCTAAAAATGCAATAAAGCATGATCGTGAGCCACCAGCGTCAATGGACTACCCGCATGTCTTGCCAGGTCTTCACTCCATGTGGTGAGGGGCAGCTCCACATTTCGCCTACCGGTACGAGGCCGCCACTCAAGACCCTTGCTTCCCATCTGCTGCCGATTCTTCAAGCTATATGACCGGCCCGCTATCGCAACTCATCTTTTGGGACTATGTCGGTTGCTCTGGTTCCACTGCGGATATCCTCATTTTTAAGCTCATGTCATATTCATAGTTTCATCGGCTTTCACATAGTCTACATACGGAAGACAAAGTGGCAGATTGTACTCTTCGGTATTCCGTATTATTTGTCGAAGGGTATCGCTTACATACTCTTTGACAAACTGTACAGTATACTCTAATGTTCGAATATAATCAGATCTATGGTGCTAAAGCCTTTTTCAAGGCGATTCGTAATGACTCTCGAAAACGACACGTAGACGTGGCTCAGAGGGGATACTGGTCTATAGTTTTTCAAGAGAGCGTTATCGCCTTTCTTGAATAACCAGACCACTGCACATCTGCTCCACGCCTCCGGAGTAGTGCCACCATAGAGGACAGAATCAAAGAGCTTCTGAAGGACTTCAAGTATCGATTTCCTATCCGTTTTCAGATGCTCTGCTGTAATTCCATACTCGCCAGGGGACTTGCCATTAGGAAAGTGTGCCATTATGAAAGTGATGTTTGCATTTCTAAATAACTTTTCTAAATAACGTGTATTATTTTCCTTTAATTATTCAAAAATAGTTATATATATATATATAAATATATATATATATATATATATATATATATATATATATATATATATATATACATACATAAACACTCACGCCTGTCACCCAGAGTGGTAGGCAGAGACTACAGACTTCCATTTGGCACGATCTTGACACACCTCTCTCGCCTCCTTCACATACATACATGCTTGTCGGTTAAGGGTACTCCTAATTTGGCCCGTTTTCAATAAATCGCCAATTTGGTCGATAAATTTTCGCCTAGGACGTCCCTTTCCGACTCTGACATTCACTTCTGCAACATAAATTTTCTTTGTCACTCTTTCCTCATTCATTCTTTCCACATGACCAAACCACCGAAGCATTCCTTTCTTAATCCTCGTTACATCATCTTACATACCACACTCTTCTCTTATTACACAATTTCTCATCCTGTGTTAACGATCGCATTTCTACTGCGTTTATTCGTTTATCCTGGTCACAACATCATCTTGCAAACCACACTCTTCTCTTATTAGATAATTTCTTACCCTGTCGTTCAGATTCAGCCCTAACATACTCCTTAACGACCGCATTTCTACTGCGTTGATTCTACTCTCGTGCTTCTTCTGCCACACCCAACTTTCACTACCATACGTTAAAGTAGGGACCAACACAGCATTGTGAATTGCCATACGTGCCTTTTTTGACACATTTTGACTCTTCATAATAGAGTGCAGGGCCCCATTTACTCTATTTCCCGCATTCACTCGTCGTTCTATATCCTTATCATATCTCCCATCCCTGCTAAATACGCAGCCCAAATATACAAACTCATCTACTTGCTCGATCAACTCCCCTTCTATTCTTATTTCACAAATCGTTTTACTTTCTTCTCTTTCAAAAACCATAACCTCCGTCTTACTTGCGTTCACTTTCATACCCCTTTCTTTTAATGATCTGTTCATTAATGTAACCATCATTTGCAACTCGGCTGCCGACGACGCAAGGATAACTTGATCATCGGCGTACAAAAGGCATTTGACGGTTAACTTACCCATTCTTAATCCGCATTCTTCAACTTTCAAATTTTGCAAACAACTGTCCATAAATAGGTTGAACAGCCACGGGGAAGCCCACAGTACCTTAGCATACAGTTTTCCCACAATGCTAAGAAGGCTGATGCCACGGTAGTTTTTACAGTCCTGCTGCGACCCTTTTCCTTTATATACTGGGACTATCACGGCTTTGCACCAGTCTACCGGTACCCGCTTCAGTTCCCAGCATAAATTAAACAAGGTGTGCAGCAGGCCTGCCACGACTTCCTCTCCAGCCCTTAGCATTTTGAGTGAAACTCTATCATATCCTTTACAGCAGCCTTACCTGCTTTCATGCTTTTCATTGCTTTCATTATTTCATCTATACTTATCTCGCTACATCTTTCCTCTTCTTTCGGTGTTTTTACTTCACTTAGTACACACGTTGTCTCCTCGCTCATGAACACGCTTTCAAAATACTCCTTCCATCTCTTTAAACTCAAAACTTCATCATTCAGAATATAGCCATTCTCGTCTCTTATAGCATTCATCATAGGCTGTTTTGAATGTCCCCTGGCAGTTCTTACAAGTTTCCAGAACATTTTAATAATTGCCTGGAAGTTATCCGATATTCTTCTATCATTCTTATCCGTTCTTTCTTGCTTTTTTCTTTCAACTACTTCTTTTACTCTCTTATTAAGATGTCTAAAGACTGCCTTTTTTCTTTGAATATCACCATTCGTACCACTAGAACTAGCAGCCTTTTTTGCTAGTAAATCTAGCCATGCTCTCTTCTTTGCTTCAACTTCCATACATATCTCATCATCCCACCATAACGTATTATTTTTCCTTCATTCCATTCCTTCATTCACTTTCTCTTACTAA